TAAGACTCGATGCAGCACCCTCATGGGTCTTCGGTGCCGCCTCAGAGGTTGTCGGTGCTCATTGGCTCTGTACAGGTATAGTTGTATTGGTCCCGCCTACCACAAATATCTCCGAGCTGCCGTCAGGGACGGTCAGAACCAGGGACGTGTGGCCATCCTTGATCCAGGTGTTGTCTTTGCCCAGATCCCGTAGGCGAATCTGAATCGGACTGCGCTGATGGAAATGCTTCAGCAACCAGAGTCATGACGGGGTTGAGGTCCACTAGACTGTGCGGAGAGGGCGAATGAACATCTCCTTGGGCGCCCCCACCTGTAGGTGGCCAAAAGGCTCTAGGAGGTTCGAATCGCCAACTAGGTATAGATCGCCGACTTCCAGAAAATAGAGCGGAAGGTTCAGGGCCGTGCCGTGGAACGTCTGAAGGGGGACTATGAAGGATGGGTCTGGAAAAACGAAGAGACAGTCCTTCAGTGGGTTGAGGAGGTCTCGAGGGGTCAGCGGAAGGTCTAGGCGATGGGAATTGGGGTGTTGGAAGAGGATGCCGTGGAGTAGGGCTTCCAGTTGAAGACGCTGTTAGCGGGAACATCGTTCTGATATATCCACTGGGGCTCAGAGTAGCCGCGGGTATTGGGCGCGGCAAGGGAAGAGGGCGAGGGAAAGCTGCTAGTGAATCCACTTCAAAGCCAAAGGGAGATGGAGCGTACCACCAAACATAACTGGCATCAGAAGAGACAGGGTGTATATGATGCTGCATACCCGCTTGATGGCGATATACTGTCGGTGTGAACAAGGGTGCATCTGCTCGGAGAACAGAATTTGCCGTAGAAGAATTGAAAATGGACCATTCTTGGGCCATTGTAGCTTGCTGCGATTCGTACCCACTTGGAGTGGAGTGGGGAGGGGATTGCTCCCAACGCTCTGCATGGGCAATGGGAATGTTTTGTTGCGAGTCTGCAGGAGACGACTGAGTTGGGTCGAGCAATGGCAGGTTCACCAACGTGTTACTTGTAGTCAGCAGGGGTCCTTGGCGGGGGACAGGAGAGGGGAGTGGATGATGCAAGGCGTGTGCCAGTACACTGTTTGTCACAGTAGCTGGTTGATCAACAACAGGTTGGGAGGTGGGTCTAGAATCATCATTGTTGTCAGAAATGTGGCTGGTCGACGGATGCTGTTGCTCGTGGAGTGTTTGATTGTCCTTTTGTTGCTGCTGGTCCCCCTGCCGGCTTAGGTCTTCATGGTGATGTTCAAGCGGCTGATTTCGCTGATTCTCAGCAACAGGTTGGGATATGCGCCTAGGAGCACTATCGTTGTCGGAAATGTGGCTGCTCGACGGGCTCTGTTGCTGGTGGAATAATTGATGTTCGTTGTTTTCCTGCTGCTCCCCCTTCTGGCTTAGGTCTTTCCGGCGATTTTCCAGCAGATGATTTCCCTGTTCCTCCCTTTGCAGGCTCTGTGCTTGCACGTGGTGGTCTAGCGGCTGATCTGTAGTAGCAGATTCAATGCTTTGGACAAGCGCTCTGGCGAGACGCCTGTAGCGCGGCATAAGTTTCCGCATTTGCTCTTCTATTGACATGTGGCTCTGCACTTTTCGCACTTTGTTAGGCCGAAGGAAGCCAAGACCTGCTTGCGCGGCCTCTATCCAGGAATTTGCAGTGGCGTCTGCTCTAAGTCTCCCTTCACCTGTCTGTCGTGTAAACGAAAGAACCCTGAGAGCTCGTACCCATACATCCCTAGGGATCGGAGTGGAGCCTTCTACCCAGGATTGCAGGAGGTGTAGAGCCTCTTTGCACTGTGTGATTCTGTACACGGATATGGTTGCCTCCACAGCTAATGCATCAAGGTTCGACTGCTGCCGAGCAGTTCTAAATTGTTCCAATAGCTTTAACATTCTCCTCCTGCGTCGCCTTGTAGTCAATCGCTGGTCATCAGCTTCTAGTGCTGCCACCGCCTGCTTCCCCACACTCAGAATGAAGTCCATTGTTCTCTGCCTTTCTAACTCTACTTGAGGAGTTGAATAAACCCCGTATAAAACCAACTCCTGTGTGCTGATCGCCAATAGTAAGACAAGTAGATATGCCTTTTTATCAAAGGGAAGACACGGCATTGTTTGCAGCCCGAGGTTCACGACGCATCTCAGCTGTTCTAGTGCTTGCAGAGCCTTTGACTCTCCTGCTCCCTCTGTAAGGGTTTCCTCTTGTACTGCCTCCGCATCACCTCCCTCCTCCCCTTCTTCGTCTGCGTTTTCAATGCAGCGTTCCATCCACGGTTCCTCTAACTCTGAATCCGAAAGGGCCCTTTTCCCCCCAGAAACAAACGAGATCGAGCCGGGGGCGTTCCGTACACACTGAAGCACGACAAATGCTACTGCTAAGCACACAACCGCCAGCAGAGCAGCATTGACAGCGCCAAGCTGGGATCTCTGCCGCTGCTTCTGCTGCCACACAGTTACCGATGGCTGAAGATCTCCCAAAGATTGCTCCACAACCATATTCCTGGGGGCCGATGGATGGAGGCTGGTGTTGTTCTCCTGAGGCATGGCCACTGCCACAGTGGGCAATGGCATGGCCCCTGCCACTGCAGCTCTCAAGCTTAAAGGTACGTCAGTCGTCTCTGGCACTCTAGTTATTGCTGCTTCTGTTGTTGTTGCTGCGGCAAACAGCGCTGTACAACTTAATCTAATAAGTCCAACTGCATTCACGTGGATTCTGCGTCGGTGGGAAGTCTCCATTTGCAGCCGATCGGTGCAACTCGCACGGTCGCTGCTGCTTTTGCTCATTGGCGGTGTGCGGTTTTCGCCTAATATGGCTGCATAGAATGGTGTGCCCATTCAGTCATTGCCTACCATAAAATTAGACTGCTTCTAATGATCAAGGAGGTGGAAACCAGCAGAACTCCACGAGGAAAGTCGAGACTGGCAGGTCCAGTGGTGGTTGTTCAAAGCCTGTTGGACAAGTTGGTGGGCACGCAAGTAGCGAAAACTCCAAATTAGTCTTGAAAACATGTATATAGGCATACTTCCTTCTATTTTCGTTGTGGCGCCTTCTCAATAACGGAGAAGAACATGACAAGAATTCGTACCGCGGTCGACCTGTAAACTAGAAAGGGCCGACGACGAGATAAAGTGTGTATAGAAAAGAGTCTGAGGTATAATAGTATTTATACTTCAAACTACAGTATGTACAAACATAAATTCCGACACGATCCGCCGGGAAAATTGGCAGCCGGAACATCGCCGTTCTGCTCGTCACTTTAGTCAAAACCGCACGCCCGATGCTACGATCTGCCGACGGAGAGGTGTTCTAAGAGCCGTCCTATGAATGCATGAAGCTTCTTAAATTGAGTCCCTCTGTTAAACCCAGCCAACTTGAATTGTATATTTCGTGTGTCTGCAGGGTGCAGTAGTCATTTCGCATTTCGAACAAGTCACCTCACCGCTCAAGATCCTATTAGTTGTAACATTTATACGTGCCAACTGATCCCAAGCATACAACGGGGATCAGAAATAGAGGAAGCAAACTTTAAAAGACACAGTTTTTGCTTTCCACTGAATTCAAACGGCCCGCTGCAGAAGGACCGAGAAACCAAAAATTTTGCCTGCCCGGGAGCTTCGGGCTACGGGGAGAAGGCACGCACAACGATTGTGTTGTCTCGTTTTCCTCTTCTACTAAACCTCCACTTATTCTTCCAGTTAGGTCAAGTTACCAGAAACATTGCTTCGTTAATAATAACTGGGCATGAATGCTCCACTCAACAGTGTAGACTGTAAGGAGTGATATTTGGCTACTGTGAGCTTTCAGTGGGTGGGAGGCCACATATCAAATGATGAGTATTGAGTGCAGCTTTTCCATCGAATTGTCTATAATACATCTACAGGGCCAACCGCTAACTATTCTACGTTCTTCATAAACCCATGAGGTGAGCGGTTTCTTCCCTAACCCTAACCCTAACCCTAACCCTAACCCTAAACCCTTTTTTTTGTTGGCACCGAAGCGCCATGCATGCAACAGCCTAAACTGCGGAGTTTCCCCAGGTGTACATGCGGCTGCAGATGAACGCCATTATACTAGACAGACACAGACCGCCAACATTCGAGAATTCCCAGTGAATTCTGAGCCGGACTCCAATCGAAACAGACGGTAATAGCTCAGCATGTTCAACTCAGCATATTCAGTTCATGCTATTTATACCGTATTTGACCGTCCATTAGGTGAGTCTGACGACAATTCATACCCGATATATTCCTAGCACCAAGTAATTGTTATGCGACTTTACTTGTACCCTAATAGGCAACAAAAGGTAATGTACCCTGCAGGCACACAAAGTATGCAATTCAAGCTGGTTGTTACAGAAGTAATCAATTTAAGAAGTTCTATGCATTCATAAAACGGCTCAAAGAACATCTGTAGGTCGGGAAATCCTAGCATCGGGCCGCAGGTTTTGAATTAAGTGACGAGCATTCTCACTGCGTTGGATTGCCAACAACTTAACCAAAATTGGTATAGTTAGAGTCAAAAGACCTGATATGTCGCCTAGCTAGGTGCCTAAATTTAGATACACGCTGGCGGGTGAGGATTGGCTGGGCATGTGCTTGCTGGAATAGATATTTGCATGCATGTATAACACATGCGTGTTTATACACGGATGTGCGGGTTCTGACTAGGTGTCTCAACTGGTGCCTGCACACTTATTTATAGAACTGTTTCGCATATTTTTATACCGGTGTTTTCTTTAAAATGTGTGTGTTGTGGCGTGCGTCAGCGTGCACGCTTGCGCACAGAAGCACAAATGCGTATGCCTCAACACTCACACAAAAACTTTTGCATTTGCGTAAACACGCATCCATATCGTCATGAATATACTCAATTGTTTATGCAGGTATGTAAATGTACATAATTACATAGGCTTGCTCATTATGGCTAAAAGGAGGATTTCATATGGGGATGCTATGCCAATGGGGGTATATACGTATTCTTTTGCAGAATTCCTATCTGCTTGACTGCTCCCAGATATGTGAACTGTTGTGTATATGCTTGTCAGTGCTCGAGTAGAAGTAGGCAGGCTCGTGCTGATTTGCTAACAACATGCATCTGCCTGTAACTGCTTGTCCTTGTGATATTTGCTAAGGTGCCGTGTGCACAACCCCATTACGGTGAGACAAAAAGTTTTACATCTGTTGTGGCTGTTGCACTGATCGATGGTCAATGATTCGTGAGCGACAATGAGCAATTCAATAAGCTAGACGTTTAGTTGGAAACACAACGTGGTTTGATATTCCCGTGGAAGCTTTCAGAAGCACCAACAGCAAATAAACAAAAGTTTCACAGAGGATAGCAGTAGCTGTGATTGTTATTGGTAAGCACGATTGCCTTGAAGGTTGCTACAAGCCTGCAGCTCGTTTCCTTTAGAGTAGGTTTTAGAACCACTAGCCACCTGGAAGTAGTTTCCGTAACTTGTTTCAGGCAGAGGGACTCGATGGTATGTGGCAGACAGAAACATGGGATGTATACACATCCGACGATGCAGAAGAACTCGAAAGATGCATTCCGCACAAACGCACAACTGCAAACCCCGAAAGTAGAAACAAACGCACCCAGACTTTGCTGCGTTTAGCACAAGATTGGCACACAGCGGCGTGTGACTCAATGCGGCTGAACGGTTGACTCGAGTGCTGCAGGACGGAGGACAGGAAGGCACACATATTTGCGTTTGCTCAGGGATGACGGCCAAATTTAATTGTTTTGTCGCAAGCCAGAACTCCTTCAAGATGCATATCTCATCTGGCTTCCACCGAATCCAGGGAACAAAGCCATATGGCTCGTTTCGACTTTCTACGCAGTTGGCCTGACCTCTGCATGCACGAAATGGGATATAAAACAGAGCTGCTGTGTAATTCTTGCCGAAAACATACACACACAGTTCAGTGTGCTTCTTGTCGACCGGTAAAGATTTGCACGCGTGTGTGGTACAAACAAAATCTCACAGTTGGAGGCACGGGAGTCTTTGAACGCTGTAAACCACTGCTGATGTTGCTCAACAACTGCTGACTACACTTGACAGACTTATCATTGCCTACTGCCGTCTGTGCAATCTAGACAAAGGCCCCCTAACGTAAACCCTTGGCTCACCAATGTCACCTCAGCTGCTGATGAGTTTCCTCGATTGCCTGCAGCTATTGCTTGGCTGCGCTCAACTTTCGGGAGGATTTCCGAGGCCTCGCTGAGAAGGATGATATGAGTTCGACGGAGGATATGGCAAGGGACCTTGCTGCGCGGACTGCCCACCCCCCGGACCCTCTGTATGCGCAAATGCCTGATCCATCCGATTCCCCAGTGGGTTGGGATTCGTCGTCCCGATCAGAGAGTGCGAATGGATGCCTCCTTGGGAGGCGCCTTCACCCTCAGGTGGCCAAAAGGCATCACGAGCTGCAACACGCGAGACAGGTAGCTGTCGAGGAACTCCATAAAATCTTTGGGCATGTGCCGGCGGGTGCGATGGAACTGAAGTGCGACTGTGGTGTGTATGTTGGGGGAAACGGTAACGCAGTCCTTGAGGCAGGGGAGTAGGAGTCGGAATGGTAAAGGAAGGTTCGGGAAATTGTGTGGAGTGCCATGGACTACGGGGAGAAGTAAGGCTTTCAGATGCAGAAGTGGGCACGGGCAGCATCGGTATGTGATGCCCACTTTGGGGATGAGTGGGCGCAGCTGAAGGACTACCCAAAGGAAGACCTCTCTCCATGATCATCGACGGGGGGGCTGGTCGCCAGGGGATATCAAATCCAGGGGGCGGTGGAACAAACCGCCATATTTCCTCTATGCTTGGGAAGGCGGGAATGGGCATGCGATGTTGCATCTCCGTATAGGAAGATTTTTTCGGCTTCAACGTGCGTAAATCTGCTCGAAGAACAGCCTTTGATGCTGAAGCACCAGAAGGTGACCGATCGTGGTCCTTCGTTCCTTGCTGCATTGTGTGCCCACGTGGACTGTAGTCAGCAGTTGGGTGACCCCAAAATTCATCCTGAGGCGTTGGGACAATTGGATGAAAGGCTCGTGGAAAAGGTTGTGTTGAGTGGAGCGTTGGGAGGTTCAGTGAAGAAGACGAGGTTTCTGGGAGGGTTGGCTGGTGAGGGGGCAGCAGAGCCTGGTTGGAATGCGATGGCAGCACCATTACACCAGCTGTTTGGGCGGGCGGTTGCGCAGCAAGAGGTTGGCGGATGGAACTGGGCCCAGGAATGACGTTTGAAGGGTGGTTGGTCCACTGGTGTTGTTGCTGGTGAAGGATGTTCTGGTTCTGCCTTTGCGGCTCCCCCCCTTGGTGGCGGGGTTCATGCTGGCGCCATTCTAGTAGCCGCTGTTGATGGTGAAGGGCTTGTTGGTCCTCCTGTTGCTGCTGCTCCCCCTGCTGGCTCGCTTTTGGCTCGCTTTGGTTCGGTGGCGCATCTCTCAAGGCGGACTCGACTAAGTAGGAAAGCTTATTTATTAGCTGTCTGTAGCGTGGCGTAAGCCTCCGCTTTTCGTTCGCGAATGACCTGCGGTACACATAGATGGATTCTGCGTAATCCGGTTTGGAAATTCCAGTGAAACCGGCTTGTTCTTGCATCGCCAACACCCATGACTTCGCACTGTCGTTAGTCCACACTCTTGATTTGCCCGCTTGTCCTGTGTATGTAACAATTTTGAGAAGTTGTTTCCATATATCATATGGTAGTTCAATAGACCTTTTAACCCAAGGTTGCAGCCATAGTAAAGCCCGTTCCAAGTGCGAAATTCTAAATACGGAGATGCCTGCCTCCACAGCCAGCTCCTTAAGGTCCGGATTTTGCGGGGAAATCCTAACGCATTCCATCAGATTAAACAGTTTTCGCGCTGTCATTGCAGCTTGGCAGCTCTGGACACTTTCATCTAGGCGAGCTAGAGCCTGTCGCCCCGATTTTAATATGAAATCCAGTGTCCGCCGCCGTTCCAACTCGACTGCCGGTGTTGAATAGACCCCAAGGAGAACCAACTCTTCCGCGCAGCTTGTCATCAACAAAACAACCAAAAAGGCCTGGTTATGACCGGGAAGATACGGTGCCGTTTCCAGGCATAGAGTTACGATCCGTTTCAACGCTTCTAATGCTTCCAGAGCCTGTGATTCTGCCCTTTCCTCTGACAACTCTCCCCCCCCCACGGCCCCTTGGGCGTCCTCTAACCAATCACATTCGCTTATCCATTGATCGACCTCATCTGAATCCGAGAGGCCCCTTTTACCCACAGAACCAAGCAACCGTGGAAATAGAGTCTTCCGCGCACATTGCAACAG